TCGGCGAACAGGCCACGCGGAACTGTATCGATCTCGTTATCGGCCAACTCCAAGATCTTCAATTGATTCAAGCCGGAAAATAAACGGGGTGGAAGTTTGGTGAGTCTGTTGGCGGACAGGACGAGTTCCTGGAGATTTTTGTTGGGCCTGAAACTGTGATCCGGCAAGGATACCAACAAATTACCGGAAAGATCCAACCGTGCCAAAGACTTGCATAAAGCGAACACTTGATAGGGAAGTACTGAGAGACGATTGCGTGACAAGTCGATTTCTTCGAGCCAATCCAAACCCTGGAATGATGCTCGTGGGAGTGTGGTCAACCGGTTTCCGGTGAGATTCAGGTACTGTAGTTGTTGCAGCGGATGGAAGACGTCTGACGGTAATTCCGTCAGCCTATTGTCACCTAAGTTGAGATGTGCGAGGAAGGTTGTCGCGAGGAATGCGCCAGGTTCTATCCTCTCGATTCCACTCGAAGTCCAGGCGAGACTCTTGAGACGAATCGCTGGCTCGAGGGCGGAAACGGGTATGGTAGCGGCTCCGACGTTTCTCAACACAACATTGGTGACTTGCCTGGACAGACCGAGTCCAAGGAAGTTTCGTTCCCGGCACAGTATGCTTTTTCCATTGTCCAAGCACTCGCAACCCGTGGCACATTCTACACGCGAGGACGGCGACGTTTTTTCCGTAATGAACGTTGCGTCCTGCGTATCCGTAACGTGCACCGCAATGAGAAGGACTATTAACCACCACCACGAGTCCCACGTGAAAACTCGCTCCCTCATTCCTATGACCTGTAATATGACGATTTCCACGCATACAACCAAGAATTCCCATGTCCTGATGTATGTTCGCGAAATCCAAAATTTACCAATCGATCGACTTTAATGCTCTTCTGTTAAATTCGTTTAAAATTCTGCGTTATTTTCGGATCAGCAAGTAATAGCGGATATACACGTTCAATGATTATTATTTGTAGTTTCTCAAGAAGAGGAGGAGGTCTGCTAACGTAAAAGCGTACATTGTGTCATTTCTTTACGAGATTTCCGTACGCATTACACATGCTTTTGCAAAAATATATGAAACGTGTTTATTACATACATGATATTAGTTTTTCTTTTCTTTTTAGATTGTTTTCTCTGCTCTCTTCTCTTTTCTTTTCTTATTTGTATTTTCTCTATTGTGTTACGTACCTAAGCGAGGATCATGGACAAGCCACGAAGCACCGATAGTCTCGGCTCTGAGATAGCGACGAGCTAACTGGTAGTATATCCTTAACCATTCGCAAAAAATCCGGCCCAGTGTCTTATGGAGGTACTGAAATTACTGGATTTGTTGATGGTGACGGCAGTGGTGTTGCTGCTATTGCCGTGTCGAGCCGGTAACATAATTGTGCGCGCTCTAATGGAACGACTTGCAGAGTTCCGAAATTGGACGGGAAGGTAATCCGCCAGCATACAATAACCGTTGCACACAGCTAACTATACAGCTATGGAAACACTCGCGCGCGCCCAGCTACGCATATAAATGGATAACACATTCAAACGAGCCACACATACACGCACGCACGCACACACACACACGCACACACACATATAACACGCTGTTTTCCGTTGCGTTTTCTTTTTTTTCTTTTTTTCTCTCTCTATTTCTTCGTGTGTAGTTACTCTATCTGTTTCTACGTGCCGGCCCTGTCAAACTTTGTAGCAGCAACGCAAAGGTTCTACTGTTGTTTCGTATGTCACATGACACACTCGTGCATCGCGACACGTTTAGCGTCGTCCGCCGCCTATCAAAGGCAAAAACTGACTGTGAAAGATTCGTTCGACTCTGGCTGCTCCTCGTGGTAACCATCGCTCGGAAAACCGGCAACGTTGCGAGCTCCAAGAACCGCGCCGACGCGAAACCTACCTCGCCGCTCTGCACCGCGCTCAACGAACCGCCCCATCAGGGGAGCCCGATCACAACCAGACACAGCCCTTTAGCCCGATTCCTGCCCATTGTCCCCACATCCTCGCTAGCCTTACCAGGATTATTTCTTTCTATCTATTCTCAACTACGTACTCAGATACGTACTTTTATAGTCTTATTATTTATTACGTGTTTTCTATTACATATGTTCTTCTATGGTTTCGTTAAGTATTCTTCTTACGCTCATTAATTAACACATTTTTATCTGCCATCTTTTCACTCTGATGAACAGCGTCGCTACTACTTTTGCTCGAACGAAAAAATTTCAAATTTTTTATCAAGAAATTTTTATTTCGTAACGTATGATACGATTTCCTTCGTCTCTTCGCGTATTGTCTGTAGTTTAGTTTGGTATTCAGTTTCAATATTCAGAAAATATTTGATATTCTAATTGGAAATTTCAATGAAATCACAATGAAGTATGATTCTCACGTACGTTTCCGGGTAACATAGAAATTAACGTATACAAGTAGACCGTGGAACGAAACGCTTCTGTTTCTTGATTAAAGACCATCGTTTTTATATAGTATTATAAGATTCGTGGTATTAGTTTCACCTGCAATCTTACGAGCATCGTTTCGGTTATCGTGTGACACCGATCTAGTATACATCTGTGATCCCAGTTTTTACTCGATGCAAGAACATCGTTATGTATCTGCAGTATAATTGTTATTTTCACGATTACAAAGATCATTCGAAAGCGTGTCTGTTTGTGTACCAATTGCGTTCAGTTAAAATGATACGCAAATATGAAACGAAAGTGCTCCAACTGAGAGAATGCTTGAAGAAAAATATTTGACCGAACGTTTATTGAAAGCTGCCTACTCTATACCATAGGAAAAATATAGCACTTTATTTATAAAACAGAGGTGACTTTCAGATTTCTACAACACCGATATTTTTGTTAAAAATCGGACTTTTTCCTCTAGGAACTACTCATCATTTACGTAACCTGAAATTACATATTGTAGAAATCTGTTCTTTCCTTTTCTAAGCATATACTTATTATTTTTAATTACTTTGACAAAACGATTTGTCATTACTTTAACTATTTGTTGCAAATCGTCGTACGTACTGACAATGCAAATTTCAATTGATATCGAGCAAAGTATCATTATGTTTGTAGTTCCATTTTATCAAGAAGACTAATCACTTTAGAGCAAGGAGCAAAAGTATGCGAAAATCGTTATCGTAATAAAACCACCGCACACCTGTAAATCACTTGTTTAAACTGTTCATGTGTACAATTGCCAGATTGACCTTGGTATGATAGCTCGGCCAGCGGTAGCTAACGTTCAATTTTGAATAGGGCTCAATAAGAGCGAGTTTTCTACGTCATGTAAAGAAGAAAAGCATAGCGTAGAGAGAGAGGAGTATGATGTAATTTAGCCATTAGAGAACGGTCTTCGGGTAGATTGAACAATCGCATGCTAATCCTATATCTGTAACAAATTCTTTTTCGCGTTTATGAATATCAAAGGTATTCAAATTAACCATAGTGTAGTACGCAAGAAATGTCACTAATAACAACATCACAACTTAGATGCACAGTGTTCTAAAATTAGCAAAAAATATAAATTTAAATGTACATATGTAATACGCTATTGATGCGCATGAAAAAAAAAACTTTGAACAAACAAACTCGCTCGCATAAACGATATTAATGACGCATTTAGAAGTTGAGTGTCATATATGCTTATGTATGTATTCGACACGATAATAAATGCTTGAAACTACAGTTCTATCATATTCTCCAATTACAGATATGTTAGATAAGCCTCAATTTATGTATATTATATTTGATTACCTTGGCTTCCCTCTCCTTCCCTTTCTTCGTTTTTTATTTTTTTGCTTCAACTTCAAATTTCACCTCGTTGTGTCTCGTAAGCAGAATTCAGCAAGGTCACGAATCACGGAATGCTTTATCACAGTGAAATATAGCAAAGCGAGTGAGTTTGGCAAATGTTTGATTGAATTATGTCCTAAGCTTGAATCAGAATTAATAGGGATTGCGTAATTCGTGCGACACCTTGTAGATCGTTTTCGTAATTTGTTTCGAAACTTGATTTGTGTGCATAGTCGTAACGAGATTGAATTTGACCTTGACTGCTAAACTTCTATAGCTTGCGCGAAGACTTCTCTCTCTCTTTCTCTCTCACACACACACACACTCCGTGTCTCTCTCTCTCTCTCTCTCTCTCTCTTTCTCGTCGGTCATGGCCAAGGGAGGCAAATGTACGGGTAGGGCCATTTGGTTTCTTATCCTACTCTCTTAAGTCTCTGGTTAGTTTCCATTATATAATTTCTTCAACTGGAAGAAACGTAAAATTCTTTTATTATTTCCAAGTGCTATTATCAGAAAGCGATTCATGCGATATTGCGATAGTAAATTAATTAGAAAAAATATGAGAGAAGATTTCTCATCAGCGAAACGTGACACTTGATCTTTGTATTTCACAATATTAATAATTCTTCAATATTATTGGAAGATAACATAAATGGAAAATAAATATGGATTTATCGACTAAAAATATGTTACGTAATGACACCGATAAATAGAATGGAGGAAGGAATCCTTCCAAAGGAAATGCCTTAAGTCGATTGATGGCATTTACAGAGCTTTTATAAATCGTGTTTATCACGAAACGAGAAACACGAATATCGCACGAGATAAACAGAGTTGCTTTATATCAAGCGGAACATTATTTTATTCGTGAAAACATCGAATTCAAAACATTTCATCGATTCCAACATATTTACGAATTTATGTGAATCGGTTTCTCAATCCCTAAATAACTAAAGATTACATTAGTATGAAATTGGGTACTGTTGTTACGTAACACTGTTGGCACATGGTGTTTAGGAGGGTCGAAAGGTATCGGACGGATAGTAACGATGAAGAAAAGAGAAGTAGCTATTTTAAAGGACAGCACGTTATTTCGACTTCGATGGTAGCGACTCAGGTATAAAATTGGCATAAAATCGTCTGCTGCGATGAAAGCAGAATGGAGTAGAGGAGAATCGAAGATATACGTTAGAGGTTCTCCTATGTTTTATTCTTGCGAACAAACACGACGTGTACTTGTCCGTTTGGCGCGTAACGCTTTTCTTTATTGCATAATATCGCTCGCAACTGTGTATAGTTAACAAGTGGAAGGAAGTATTCGCTTCATATTCGAGTTAAAGTGGAATGGTTGAGTGCAGCGATGTAAGAAAGGAAAGGCTTGTGATTTGAGGCAAGGCGATAAGTGGCCGGTTGCTAGTTATGAGAGAAAGAGGGAGGACTCCTGCGGAAGCGAGAGAACTCCAAGGAACGGAGAGACACGGTCGACCGTCGAGCAGACGTGAGTAGAGCTCGATCAGCTGGGAACAGGCCGATGTTGCCACGTGTCTCTGTATGACCCCCGGCTGACGGCTGTGTCGGGTTCGTGGATCAATATTACTGAGATCTGGCAACCTCGCAGGTATCCAACTCTTTATTTATACGTGTCGGTTAGACGGCGCAGGCTCGCTTCGAAGCTTCCTTTAGTCGCTTCTGTCCTTCGTTGCTTTCCTTCCCTTGGCCTTTACCAGTCTACCGCGATTTTCATATTTTTAAAAGGTGAATTATTTATCTGACTGCAAGTATATGCATAATTGGAAAGCCAAATAAATGTACTAAAATGGACAGTCGTTCGGCACTCGATAACAGTACCTTATTGCTCGTATTATATTTTACCGTTTATAAATATTTTTAGGATCGGTAGATATAGATCGGAACGATCAGGGACGTACGAATACCAAATACGATGTATCCCAAGATACATATAGTCTGAATGAACGGCTGTGTCGTTAAGTTCTTCTCATTCGCCCGTTTTGTCCGTACTATGGCTCACGAGCTATCGGGACGCGTATCGTTTCTATCTGAAAAAGATACGATTGTTTGTGATATGATCGCGACATTTTGAATGTTATCTTATCTTCATAATGTCTATCTTAATAATATAGAATTTTGTAAAAGCTAAGTAACTTTCTCCTCAAAATTGTCTCTTAATCTATAACAACTGGGATCCTTGAATGATAACCAGGAGAACTTTTAAAAGTTTCTAAATTAAGAATAATAGATCATATCATGTTTCTACAAGTTTTTTGTTACTCTTAAAATATTCACAAAAATATCTTGGACCCTGTCTACTACATCATTTAACAAGCCGTAGAATTTCCACACTAAGTTGCACGTGAACCTACCTAGAGAGTCGCTAATTACTCCCTTACTAAACGTACTCTTCTTTCACTTCGCTTTTCTGGTCCTCTAGTCTCGACATGCTCGTTCTTGCTAGTGTCGTATCAGCAGTTCGGTGAAATTAATTGCTAGTCGAGTTTCCGGTTTGATTGTGCTGATAATAATAATCGCTGTAGGAGACATCTGAGATTTTAAAAATAATTCTAAAATAATTAAAAAAATAATAAAATAACAAATAGACCTATAAAACACTCGTCATTCTTTGTTATTAAGCAATATGAAACATGCATGCAACTATGCAACTTATCCGAGATATGTAATTGCTGAAACGTTGTGGGAGTTCTTTCCACCTACAAATCGTTTCTCTCTACGTGAGTTCTCACGCTCCTCCTGTTGCCATTTTATTTCCTGATCGTGCGTCGCGTACCGACTAACAATAGCGCGAACTTTGCGATTAGAAATTTTATACAAATGATTTCCGCACGTTCACTGTGAGCCGCAAAGGTCGTTATACCTCTCTACCACTGCTTGTATGCGTCTACATCCGCCACCTTTGCAACTTATATTCTAGCACGTTGCTTTCGTGCTTGTTCACTCGTCCGATTCTCTTCGTCGATGGACACGTGTATACGCACACTTCGCTGCCATCGTGTGACCCAGTTTATTTCTTGAAAAAAAAGCGCGCCACTTGGATACACGAGGGAAAAAACTAGGTTGCTAAATTGGAATCATCCCAAACACATCTGGAATCGAGTGATAAAAGTTTTAGCGAAATATGAATCGAGCGGGAATAATAATTAAACGAATTCTAGGAATGTACTGTAGTTAGCGTACCATCGTATTTCGTTACACACCGTCGTTTAAATAAACCGGCAATCTGTTTAGCGTATATAACCATCCACCCACGAATTTCCGTAGATTTGAAATGATCGCTCATGGCGCAGAACAGTGAATGTTTTCCTATCTATATACGGTTACGCGTCATATACATCGTTATTACCTAAAATACACGATCCATATGTATTCATGGTGCGAGCTTTGAATATTATCTAAATTATGGTATCACGTTGTCAAAGCTTGAGGATTTTTAATCGATGGTATTCGTTTTTGAAAATCATTGAATTTCTCGCTTTGTAGAAGTAAGCAAGTTGATTGAAGCTCCAAGGTTATTCATTGGCATATATGTATAGCTGCATAAACTTGAGCCTGTTATATGATTCCTCGCTACGTTTAAGCGTAAACAGTGATATCTCTACCTGTAACAACTCTTCAGGTTTAAAATAAAAATTATAAAATAGAATCATTTACATTTTTTCCAACTTACTCAACTATACTAATAGCATATTTTAATTCACATAGATTAAATGCATTTAAAATAGTAAAATTGATAACAAAAACTATTTTAGATACATATATAGTTTTTAGTTTTGCAATTTGGGCTCATATTGTAATGTGGACGTGGCAACGATGCAAGCAATTGAGAACGCGTGGACATATCCTTCGCTTCACAATACATATGTCACAGAAATGAAAGAAAAAGTAAAAGTTCTTTGACCAGCAATATTTTTTACACCTCTTCTTTTCTATTTCTACTTCAACACTTAGTCAGTCTGTTCTCTATCGTTTACGGTTTAAGTACATCGCCTATAGGCCGAGACGTACTGAATCATATGTACGATATAACGTCCATAAGTATAGAAAAGAAATAATACTTTCATGATATTTTGACTGTACGAATATATTATATTGACGAATAAAATATGAATATATATATATGTGTGTATATATATATGTTCATATTTTATTCATCAATTGAATGATAAGTTATCTTCTTATTATATATGTTTTTACATAACAACTACATGAATAATTTCATGTAGTTGCCGAAATAAATTGGATTTGTAAGATAATACAGGTCAAGAATACGATCGATGTACACTTCCTGCTCGATTACTCTTGCGCACGTGCAACAAAACAATAGAAGACGCAAATCAGTTTTCATATTCGTTTCACATAGTCGATGCTACTTCTGTGCCGTCTGACAAATTTGTTCGGAATTATTTGTTTCGTTGGTATAAGAGTAAACGAACCTTCATTGCGGCCACTCTCGAAAATTTTAACTTCCACAAATCAAGGATTGTTTATTGACCGAAACGGAAGAATAAACTACTTGTGTTCCTTGTTTCTTTGTTGACAACACAACTGATTCATGACTGGTCACATCTAGAAACGCCGAGATACGTAATCGTTAATGCCAGGAATATTCTTTCAGCAACTGGAGTTTATGTTCATTAATGATTATACGAAGTTCGATAAGAAACATTAATTAAGACAAAAATTACATATACTCCGCTAATGTAATATTAATACGATTAAATATGATTTTATAGTCAATATAAATATATTTGATAGAAAAATATGGATCGCGTGTAAAGAGTAATGACGCCATTACGTATTGTAAAAGCATGGCGTCGACTTACGCTTGAAAATCTAAAAGAGAATTTTATTTCGTATATAAAATGTAGTATTATATATGATAGTTTTTGGTCAAATTTAACAAAATAAAGGTACAGATATTACCACATTTGTCGTCAGTAAGCAGTAATGTATATACATCTACATGTGATGAATGTTTTCATGGTTGCTACGATAATATGGTGTTAACGGTTTCTATTGATTTATCACACATTCTCGACATATTGGAATGTTTCGAAACTTCTAGAAATTCATCAGAGCATAATTCCTTCTAGGTTACGAGAATAACTAAACGAATTTATAATCCTTTAAATCTCAATAAATATGTAGATACACCTTTTGGCCGTATGCGGGAAATATCTTTAGATGATGCAATGGCGTCGTTTGCTGATGTGGCAAGCAAGCTTGGAAACGTTTAGCTTCGAAGCCGTTCAGACAACCTACGTGACCAGAATAACGGCGCAAATGGCGAGTGGCTCGTTGTGGCGACATCTACCGGAGCCGCTATCGTTAGACTTTGTTCGTAGTACCATGTCGCACCGAGCGATGTCGTTAAGATGCTAAATCAAAATTTATCAAGGTCGTAACAATAGGGCCTCAATTTTTAAATAAAAAAAAAAAGTACAAGAATGTTTCTCGCTCAAATACATCACTTTATTTCGTTATACAAAAAAATGTTCTACGTAAAATTATGTTTACATGCTTTGACATCGATCGGTTGGTCCCATCAGTTTTCAAAATTTCAAGTTCGAGTTAAAAAATTTGAAAATTTACATTAAACGATCTTTTTTCTGTTAGTGTGCAGATTTTGTAAAAGCTGGAGCAGAACAAGGTTTAACACCATCCGATGTGGTGCTCGCTGCAGATATTACATTTTCCTGTGTGGCTGATCCTCAAGCTGCCAAAGACGTAAGTAAAAAACGTGGCTTATCTTTCAGATCCTGTTATATATAAGATTTCTTAACGTTATTACAAATATAAAAAATGTGGATAATCTTTTTTAGATGGTGTTTGGGAATTGTGGAGTCCTCACAGAAATATCTCCAGAAAAAGGATATGTGGAGATGACTGGTATAGATGCAGAAACATCTCAAGATATCGCCGAGGCAATAACAGCAAAGGGTGGCCGTTACTTAGAGGCCCAAGTACAGGGTAGCAAAACACAAGCGCAAGAGGGTACTTTAGTGATCCTTGCGGCTGGCGATCGACCTCTATTCGACGAATGTCAATCTTGTTTCGAAGCAATGGGGAAAAACAGTTTTTACCTTGGAGAGGTGGGAAATGCTTCTAAAATGAATCTCGTGCTACAGCTGATGGCTGGTGTAACTCTTGCTGGTTTAGCCGAGAGTATGGCTCTAGCAGACCGTGCCGGTCTACAGCAAAAGGATGTCCTCGAAGTATTGGAATTAACATCATTGGCATGTCCTGCCATTCTTGACAAAGGGAAAGGTATTACGGTCTTTCTTTTCTTTATCGATCGAGCGTAATTGAAATTTAGATCTGGTTGAACGATATCTACAATGTGGTTTAATTTTTCAGCTATCATCGAGGGTGGTTTCCCAACGCAGTTACCACTTCAGCACATGCAAAAAGACTTAAGACTCTCTTTAGGTATGAGCGATCAATTAGAACAGCCATTGCCTCTAGCTGCAGCAGCGAATGAAGTCTACAAACACGCTAAACGCCTTGGTTACGGAGAACACGATGCCTCCGCTGTTTACATCAGAGCTAGGTTCTAACGGAGCGTGCATCGTCAAAATACCATATTTATTGCAATATCTAACGTTGTTTCCTGTCGCTACCCGAGAAGAGTAGTGCGCTATTTGTCGAGGATGTACTAAAAAGTCACTATGGGTCGTGATATTTCTTAGAATGTTGAAGCAGAATAAGTTTCTGTTGTTTCTTAACTGAATGCAATCGAATCCAATGGATTTGAACATATGCTAATAACAGTAAAGTTGATGTATGCAAGTTTCGTCGTACATTTAATGCTACAAACATGTAAAATAAATATACATGTACTTTTTTTACACGTTTTTTCAAGGATACTTTTTGAGTACACATAGGCGAATGACTTTATCTTTTGTTTCGTTTTATTTTAATGCATGGCGACTACTTTTCTCGATAACAGCGTGGGTCTTTAATAGTCAATCTATCGAGTCGCTTCCCGGCTTCGTCCCCGTAAATTGCATCCCTCGCTTGAAAACTTGAGAGACTTGGGACGTGTCGAAAATGTGCCTTACGATACTATTGGAAGCAAGGCTTTTAATTTTTTTGTCTCTTGATTAGGCTGCACGATAAATTTAAACTCTTTTTAAGTAATACAGTATAATTGAATTAAGTTTTTTATGCTGCTAATTAACGGGATGTATTGTTCAAAATAAAAAGGACGATTAAGGTAGATCATATGCTTTATTGGTGCAATTTAATCAAAATAAGGTCTTCGCTTTTGTAGAGAAATTTTGGCAGTATTTTAGAAGCGTCCGTCGAATGAAGCGAACAGATGGCAGAAAAGAATGGCCAGCATTTTTTATCTTTCTGATTTCAAATTTTTATTTTACTTTTGCGTTGAAGGACAAATTGTACATTTTAATTGTACGTGTTTATAAAACGACATATTGTAGAAATTATTTATATATATATATATCTATATATTATATATATATATATAAATATCTATATATTATTTATATATATATATATATTATATATTTACTCTTACGAAATATAATTTCGTTGGAAAATGAAGAGAAACTTGTTGGCCAATTTCTGTCGTCGAATTATTCGTCCTGGGAAACTTCTGATATATCGCCATGGAAATTTCAGTCTCGTCTAGAAATTACAGATGTTTCGACGCTTAACAGGGCCGTAGCTTTTGGTTCTTTATCGACGTGGCTCTTCAGAGATTAAGCCGAAGACAACGCAAGACAATTTTATCTTAGCATCATTGCAAATATAAAAACAAAAAAAAAAATGATATCATGTTGAATAATATATATATTATGATATATAGAAGAGGCTTTTCGGACATAACGAGTGTCCCTTTAATCATTAACTTTTAAGACTAAATCAATTACTTATGCGACGTAGATTTGCATTAAATGCTAGCAATGGTATAGAGCATGATGTATGTGTTTACAGTTCGATCGAAGTATAATTATGCGCTATATTTTCTATTTACTACTACTTCGAAAAATTATATTAATCAATCACGAATATATATTTTATATTGTTGCAACTTTCACGGTATGTTTTTGTTTCACGCGATAGAAAAAGAAATTAACCGCTTCTAATACGTAAATCTTTCTACTATTCATTATTTTTTACTGACTTTCATAGTTTATGGTTATTATACGTGTTTAACGAAGTTGGATGTGTCGGAATGATTTTTGGAACAATTTCCACAACAACGTAGTCTGGTTCTCTCTCATCTGCACATACTTTGCACATACTTAAGATCCTTTTACGAGAAAGAAATAAATCGTTTGGATGAGGAAGGAAGTGAGTGGCGCTTCCGTTTCCCAGGACGGTCGTGCGAGTCTCACAAGTGACACGCGACGAAGTCGAGGGCGATCGAAAGGTTGCCAATTTGTTTTGGAGCCAATCATACGAGTTTAACTTTGCTAGCAATGAGAAATCGATAAGTTTCTCCTTCTCTTCGTAAGAACTAAGAAAATAGTTCTACTTACAAACTTTCTCTCGTTAAAGATCGGTAAATATTTTTATAAAAATAGTACAAAGAAACGTTAAAACAATTATACGACAGATTGTTAATTTTAATTCAATAAATCGATACGAGTGATTTTTTGTGCGATTTCTTTTACGAATTAAAAAGGAAAACTCGTATTATTAGCTCGTTTATAAAAACAAACATTTGGGTGCGTGGGAAATTACGTACCGCATAGCTGAAACAGTGGCTAAGCACCCATATCACATACTGTATATGTAATTAGACTATCGATAATTCTAACATTACAATGATATATTGTACGCATAGCGTCATTGCATTCATTCTTGTTAATACAAATGCGTATAATCATCCTACGCGCGATGTGCAAGAAATGTATAAGTCGTTCAATTATATAATTATTACCAATAATTACATGTACTGTTTAAAATAAGTATGGGTACATACAATTTTACACCAAGGAATGGTAATAGGTGTAGATAAAACCCCATTGTGTTTATTTTGGTACGTCAACTGTAAATTACCGATATTAGATAAATGTTACTATTTTGGTACTAAGATCGCTTGGTGTCGGATGACTAGTCTTAAATTGATTTCATGCATATGTTTATGTATGTAATACAGTTCTTCAAGTTGTGTTAGGGATAAATACAATGATACTATGCGTACAGATACGAATTGAAACAGAAATGATGAATAAATAGAGAGAAAAATATTAAATATTCTATAAGCAAACATAAAGAAAAATATATATACATATAAGTAGTAAAGAGTATAAATCACAGAGAGGGAGGAATTCGTATGAGTGCGACTGGGTGAGTGAGAATACGTCATGAGCATTGCGTCAATAACTGACGTTATACATTTTGCCACGAAATACACTGGTTTTTGAATAAATATCTATTTGAATTACGAACATTTATATTCAGTAATATTTAACATCCTTCATTTTCCTGTCTAAATTCTTCATCTACTTTTGTCATAATTTTGTGTGTATTTTCGAGGTAATTCAAGTATCCACCTTTTCTGAAGTGTACGGTACAGTGTACGATAAGTAATGCTCGATCCACAATAACTTGGTTATCTACTGATTTTCACCTTATGTAATATTTCAAGCTACTGACGAATTACCGATGCTTAAATAGATTTCTAAACGCATGGTGAATAATTAAACGGTAAGTTCTTAATGGTTCCTATTAATTCTAATAGCGATGTAGATCAATTTGAAAAACTTGTCCATATCATTTGTAAGATAGAATGCAAAGCACGTGCCGCGGTTCGGTCAGTTCATAGGCGCCATGGGTAGAGCAAATGATATTGCATGATTATAGAGGATAGAGGAAGCCGGTTGATGTGCGCACGCGTCTCCTCCGGCACGAGTAGACGTGTGCGTGAAAGTAACGACGAGAGTGGGGATTGAAGGCGGGTGAGGAAGCCGGGTGGGGGCAGAGGGGTGGAGCAGCCGCCGTCTGATGACACCTGTGGCTCGACCCCCACGATCAGTCCAGACGCGACCGTCCACGCGCCGTGTTGTTGCAGTGTTTTTGCACACCTACCGCTCTACGTACACATATACGTTTACATATATTCAACAACGCGATACATTCACACATCTATGAATGTACACTTGCACGCGCGATTCACGTGTATAAGCATGCATACAAACGTTAGTAGGCGCACACGTGCAAACGGGTAATTTTTACCCTTTACCACGTGACAGGCTGTCGTGCGCATCTGCCATTATCGTGAGTGAACTGTCATTGTGCTTCTTTTTCGTTCAAGATAGAAAAGAAGAGGAACATAAGGAGTAATCGTTCTTCCCGGTACGTACCATGAATATTGTGTTACGCGGTAATCGTCACTTTCGGTATTCTTTTTTTCCCATATCGACCAGCCTTCTGTTCACGTACGCCGTTGACAACTGCGGCCAGCTCCCTCTATCCATTTTAAGCAAAGCTTTTGCGTTTGATTCTGGTGTTGATAGATGCTTGTTACGATTGACGCCTATGTAGATCCTAGGAACAAGGTCGTCGATGTAGAACGTTACTTTCTAGACGATCAAGTACTTTGATCATTGAAATCATGTACATACGAGTTGCTGTATGTATCTTTAAGAAATCGCAAACTGTCGCGTGCGGTGCGTTTACGAATAACTGATGGCGCGTTTATGTTTTCACCGTATGTGATATTCGTACTCGTATTTTTCGTAACATCTGAACAATTATCAACGCTGGTAATATCGATACGTTACAAACGAACGTGAACAAAGTATCGGTTTAAGCATGATCGAAGTGAATGTTCACAAATAACGATCGGTTTCTTGGTGTGTTTCTTGGCACGATCTTGTGAACGACTTTATTCCTAGGGAATGATCCGTGGTGTTGCGACTGTGCACAAGAAAACAGAACGTGGCCTGTATGCTCGACAATGCGAAACGGTGGTGGAGGGGTATGTTTCTCGCGCGTGTATTCACAACGTATGTCGCACTGTTCACGGAAGCAAAAGATTTCAGAATTTCTGTTTGTGATCGCGCTTAATCTCGTGTACTGTAATAGTGAAGTGAAGCACAGAGGCAATCTCTAATGAAATTCATCTTTCTTTTATATAGTTTCGACGTCAAAATTCACTCGTTTTCACTTGAGAAATCGAGGGGATAAACTGATACGTTTGTAAGTACTCGGTATCGTTGGATTCGTGTTTTTATTTTTAGCGACTAAATTAATTGTCGCTGATGTTTTGGGATTTTTAGCTTTTGCTTCGAAAAAAGAGAAGAAAGCAGAATAGCGATAGCTTTAAAAGAATTCGTGATAGATTATATCCAACTTTTTTCGAGCTCTTCATAGATACATTTTTTTCCACTAAATGCTCGTTTCGTCGCTAAAACGGATCATCGCGTAGATGTGCATTGAGTTGAAAAATAACTCGTGTCGCGGCGCTATCTCTCTGTTTCTCTTTTTCTCTGGATCGGTTTTTCTCTCTTTATCGCTCGGTAAATAAGACGCATGCTGTATCTACACATATCAAGTGCACATGTGTAGGGTAAATAAGCAAAACCGTGTTGTATGTACTTACAATAGCCGGTAAAGTATTAGTATCCACACACCTTAGACGGGGATCCGGCAAATATAGATACAGGCGTCGTTGGTGTACGAGCACTTACACCAGGTAGAAGAACGTAGAAAAGGAGGTGAAGGGGAAACGGATAGGAGAGATGATAGAGGAAATAGCGTGGACAGATTCCATTTGTACTCGGCAGAACCTTCGTATTTTAAGTAGGGACTTTACATCGTTTCTTGTCAAAATGTTGCTTACATTCGGTGTCCTCGATCGATCCTAAGTTTTTTTAACATTTATCATGCTTTGAAAACGAAAATTCTTATTCAGAGTCCCGTATATGAATTCAAAAAAAAAAGAGGAAAAAATTGTTGAAATAAATGCAATTAAAAATATTTTGTATTATTCCATGGAAAAACAACATATGATTATCGTTTTCTTGTGTATAGATAATCAGCGAAATAATTTCTACTCCTGGTAAATTCATACGCGTCGTATATATACGTAAATGAACAAGAACCCGTGACGCGCTGGCAAACGACGCATCTATTCGGTCATACGAAGTAGCAAATAAATGGCATATTCATTGGTGTGAGTGCAATCATGTTTGCATCGCTCAGACTTTGGGGTGGGGATGGGCATGTCGAGCTAGGAGGATCAGCAGGTCCGCAGTGGGGGAAATAGCGTGGACAGGTTGCGTTCGTGCTAAGAAGCCAAGTCTCGTCGCCTCGCATTCCAAGACGCGGATTCCGGAGCGGTTTTCTTTTAAGAAGGAGTAAGAGGAAGAGAGAACGAGCGAGCGAGAGAGGAAAGGAGACAAAAGGAGAAAGAGAATGAAAGAGAAGTGGAACGCTTACGGTACCGATTTTCCAGTAAGCATTCGAGTCTGTCGTTCTTTTTTCGTGAGTAGACCAGGATAGTTGGTGAGGGCGCTTTTTCTACTTCGATCAGCGCCGCGTACAAGTACACGAACTGTAAGGGTACAACGTTCGTTGCACCTACAGCTGCTTATCGACTGGATCACGATCCCACTTAGCGTACGTCCTTGAATCATGTAACGCTTTTACTCCTCGACTTTTCGCCTCGTTACCCATCCTTCAAAAACGTCTTTTAGTTTACAGTTGAAAAAATCGTGCAACCATATTTTTTCAATTCATCCGGTTAACATGGACTCTGAGTTACTAGACTACGAAAAAGGTTTTTATACTTTTTTGTTTTAAAGTTTTTAAAAAGTTAGTGTAAATGATGTGAATAATTTGTTTAAAAATGACAATGAACCGACGAGCAGATAACTTGCTTTTCTTGTATCAAATACTTTTCATTTGAGTTGTTGGCGAAAACAGTACATCGGTTCGCAAAAGGATTGTGGTTTGTGCGTTCCTACTAGAACCATTGTTATATATCTATATACGATTCAATATAGTACAATATACTAGAACTTTTGATAAAAATTTAATAATCGGAAATGTTCTATATAGTCTTTCTATTGATACTTTGAATGTATGAATTATTTCTTAAGAGATAATCCTCAGAAAGAATAATGATTCAGAGATAAGAAAAAATATGTCTTATTTGCTATTGTGTCGACAATTTTAACGCGCATTTGATTCGAGAGTCGTAGAAGATACAGTGAAAGTGCATAGACGAGTCAGAACCTGTAAGAGAAAGGAATAATTATAGCTTATGACATACTGTTGCAATGGATGATCCTTCGTGTACTGAATAACGTATTTTACATATACGTATCTGTTCATTTTTATTCTATACTAATAATTACATATTAAATACTCACGCAAATACGATATATTTACAAAATATTGTGTATATTTAACTTCTAATATTATCTTAACGTTTCATATTTTCTCGTCCGTTGTAGTAAAATGAGAAAAAAGAACGGTTCAACTAATTTTACTTGTTATTAACGAATAATGAAAATTTTTAGGAGCGATGTTATTTAAAATTTCCAAAAAAAGAAATGCATACAGGATCATGAATTTGCATTGACAGGTCAACAGTCGCGCCATCTTGAAATCGCACGGCCAATCGAAAGATCGGATAAGTAACACGTGGTCCTCGAAGTACGCGCCGACTGTAGTTTACGAACGGTAAACGAAACGCGAGGGACACTCCGTTGGTCTCCCTCGCTCCTGCGTTCTCTCTCGGGTTCCCTTAGTTTATAAATAAACGACGTGCTCGATGGACTCACCTGGCACGTTCCGCTTTCAACCGTGACACTTATCTTAACGTTTCTTCGCTGGAAGACACGTGTGGATCGTTATTCTTCGACCATTTACGGAGCATCATCGCGAAACGTATCCCTAACGATATACTCTACTGGATCGGCGAAGTACGAACGATGAATCGTTTGGTCTAGTTTGTTAAGTTTGGTGCATTCGTCGAGAAGCGTGAAAATTCACAGCGACCTACTACAATGTTTCCTCGAATACCTGCTGCAAGGACTTTCACCCGAGCGGATTGAACGTAGCAAGATTTTGGCGCCAACTGTTTGTAATAATGGTGACCTCGACTGTCCGAATGGAAAATAACCGTCGAATGCGACAAACAGACGATCCAAAAATAATAACCTGACGACTATTTGTTTTGAACCATTAACGTTTTCGACACAGTTTCGTGAAAATTTTAGCGATAATTTGGAATAGAAGTGAATCATACATTGTGAAAGGGATGGGGGTTACTTCGTAGGTAGCCATGTTTCCGCTACAATGTTCGCATTTTGTACGTGTGTATATAAAACTAAGAACATGCGTAGTTTGAAAGTAGCATAGAAAGAGCCTGAAAATAGCAACTGGTTAAACGAAAATTTCTGTGTTTAGGTAATCGCAAGTTGAGGGAAATCCGCCGGAAAGTGTCATCTGACGATCGATGTCAAACATCGAATCGACCTACCGAGGAAAAATAAGAAAGCAATCTAGATAATTGGTGAGATTCAGATCGCAAGAAGTACTAGCAACTTGTTGACAGTATCGGGTGGTTGTTATCTCACCGGATAGTCGTGAAGTATGTCGTTATACGTAACATACAAAACATGGTTACCCAACCCGCTATGTAACGCGTTTCCGTGATATGCGTTTACGCGAGTGTCAATTATTTTCTAGTTATTGGTGAATTTTACTTCTTTCTTTTTTCTTTTTTCTTTTTTTTTTTTTGAAAATGATGCGTCGTGCACTTAGTTAATCGAGTATAATGTCGATAAGGTGAATGGAAAGTTAACAGATCACGCGACAGTGATGCAGTGCCGTAGTGTCAGTGCAAAGTGCCACGTGCCCATTGCTTGGATTACTTGAAGATGCCGACGTCCGGTGGATACTATGACGACAGGAATCCTCTGCTCAAGGGCACCTTATCGAGGTGAGTCTATGTGATTCTCTTTCGAACCTTATCCTACTTTTATCTGATTTTCGTAATTTACGTAGTCGCGTTAAAGATCAGTTTACCCAACTATATACGTATTTGGATCGCGTTGCTTCGTAGAACAAGTACACAACGACTATAAACAATTCGTGTCTCGCTTGAACGTTGATAATGACCGGAGAAAAGTGTGACATGAAAGATTCATTTTATTCGATTACTCGACCAGAGGCTGATCTCCTTGGTGTCTAACCGGTCTGCTGGTTCGCTTCTGTTTTTAAATACGTTGGCCTCTGTTCGACCGACTGTCTCCGATCGTGTAGCCTGCGTTGCTACAGTTGAATCATATACATATAATTCGTTCCTCTAAAATCAAAAATATCAGCAATTTAACAATATTTTTAATCTTTCAAATATTAAATATTTCACATATTTTTCAAAATTCACAAATAACGATCAAACGATAATATTATTGACTGAAAAAGCAGTCTATGTTCTATATGATACAAAGTTCGTTGAACACGAAACTAGAAAGGGTACTATGTCGACCGAGGCGTATTGCTTACGAACTCATCGCGCGAAATGCAGTGTCAGCGTTTAGCTTACTCTTACCAACATCAATTTAACATTCAACAGCAATTTGCTCGATTAATTCATCGTAATTCGTAATGTCTCCTCGGATACAATCGACGGTACAGTGTGAGAAATATCGTGCGAGGACGATCGTCAGAATCGACTTCCCTTTGTTTCTCTCGCGAATTCACTTTTACGTTAAAGACCGATCGAACGATTTTCCCAAGGCGTGTGCGTGCAAGTGTACCGTTTAACACATTCAATGCATGTTGATCGCGCTAATTTGTTTTTTGTTGTGGCATGCATGCGGTTAGACGGTCGCGATACTGGCAGCGTCGCGAAGTGTCGCGTTTGTGGACGCAAATTACACTTGGTTAATTGCGAGGTTTGTGCTATCACCGTACGAAATATATACGTTGTTCGGC